TCTGCTGGGGATGATAATTCTCCAGTGACAGTGATCACTTCAGGGGAAATGCTTGTTCAGCCCTGTGAGRGATTGAGCCTTGTGCATCCAGACCACCTGCCTTTTCCATTAAACCCCTACTCATTCTTCCTGTGTGAGAAATATCTGCTGTCTTTCAACAGGAGGGAAAACAATCACATAAGGTGGGTTGTTTTCCCATTTTCCATACCTATGAGGTATCTTGGAGCTCTTCTAGCCAGGTGGGACTCTGKTTTTTTTTYYTTTTTTCCCCCTCTCAGCTCCTTGGGCGCAGTTTCACGTTACAGCTCRGTCCTCCTGCTGCTGCAGGAGGTGGCAGGTACATTCCTGCCTCTTCCCCTCTGCGGGAATCCAGCAGCAGAGCAGCCGCAGGGGACTGACTCCAGCTAACCCTTCAAAAAAAAGAAAAAAAAAATGTACCTWAGCCCCAAACTTTCCTGGATCTTGCCCTGCAGTCAGAGCTGTTAAATCTTCCACTTGGATGACTGGGAAGGCCTTAGGGGCTGGAGGGGTTGGTGGGGGGATGGCTCCTTTTGGCAGCAGTGGTTTCTAAATTGGCTTTGCTGTCTCCTGATTTGGTCACTCTGCTGCYGAGCCAAGGGTGGGTGCCTTGCAGAGAGGGAGGGGGTTCTGCCCAGCTCCCTCCATCTTCTGCCTTGGGAAACACCCAGTTGAACCAGTCCAGCTCAGAGAAATGAGAAAAGGATAAAATAATTCCCTAAAGCCCTAAATTTTTTCCCCTAAAAAAATTCCCTAAAGGAGYGAGCACGACCAGCTTGGCTGGGATRTTGCCATCAGCTTGGCAGCAGGAGGGAGCTGGGGCCGGGGAGGAGAAGGAGACCATCCCTTTGGCTGAGCTGAGAGGTGAAACCACACYCTCAGCCTCACCTGTCTCTCTCATCACACCTTTGATTTATACCCTGGGTGCTGCTGTTTCCGCAGACTCCGACCATTGAATCTGATAGYGAACCGAGTGGTTGAGTCTCATTTGTTTAATTCAAAGAGAGAAGTTGAATGTTTCCTACCTCGCAGTCCACAGAGGCTCTGCCTGGCAGCCTGTGGTTTTCCTTGCAGTGAACCTATAAAATGCCAAGACAAGGACTCAAAAACTCAAGGCACGAGCAGCCTCCACAGAAACAGTCTTGGCAAAGAGGCTGGGCACCACAGATTTACATTTTTGGAGGGGTTTGAGGGTGTTTTGTCTCTGCAGAGGTATTTGAGGGTTGTGATATCTGTGAAGCATTCCCTGCCATCTTTCCTCCTGAGTGCTGGTGAGCCCCCAGCATTGAGGGGAACTGTGGGGGGAGCTTCTTAGCCCCCCTTAATCTTAGGTGGAGAACAGACAGATCCTGAAAGTCTCTTTCATTGCTCTGTGGCATCTGCTGAAGTGCTGAAGGACAGCCATGCCAGAGATGTCCACCCTGCTGGAACTGCAGTTGTATTTCGTGCAGGCACCTTGTGTACAAGTGCAGCCTGCTCTAGCCAGAGATGCTCCTGCTGGGCAATGGCACCAGGGGGTTTTGTTTCCCAGTCCCCAGTGAGTGAAAGAAACCATAAATCTGGGTAAAAGGCCTCACTCTAAGGAACCTTGCAATAAATTAATCTTTTTTCCTTGCCAGGTTGGAAGGTAAGGACCCAGGTGGCTGTTCTTCTCCTGGGGAACAAGAGAAGGGGACAGTTCATGTGGCCCCTTCTTGAAACAACCAGTGATTATTTGGAGTTGAAAGCTCCTGCTTGCTTCCAGATCAATCCACTTAAAGTTACTGTAGTCAGGTGGTATGTTTTCAGTTTTTAATTTATTTTGTATCTTTTTTTTTTTGGCTTGTTGTTAGTCGAGAGCTAATGGATCGGCCCAAATAAGGCCATGAGAGAGGCTGGCCAWTTCCAGGAGGATCCACAGACAGCCAGTGCATGACTTGTTGCCTTTATCTCTGAGATCAGGAGATTCCTTTGCAGTGATGGATTAATCCACCCCTGAGTGAATAATATAACTGAGAACAAGTAGGAGCCAGCGCTCCAAACAGATGATTTGTTCACTCCATGTGTGCCTGCCCTCCCCTCCCCCTCTGAAAAGCATCTTTCTTCACCGTTTCATTCAGCCTGTTGAAACCTCTCAGCAACCTGTGTCTGTTCCAGCGGAGGGYGAGGATGGGGCTGTGCCAAAGGCTTCTGCTCCCAGGTGCAGGGGAAGATAAAGCACAGCCCCACTGAGCCCATGGCATGGAGAGAAGGTGCCTGTGGGCTGCTGGGTGATGTCACCTGTCTGCCCTGGCCATGACATCATTGTCCTCACCGTAGGTGTCAGTGTTGGTGCTGGCACAGCTCTGGAATGTGAGGCAGAAGGCGCTGTGTCCAGAAATTGTGTAAAGGAGCTGGAATGTTTGGGTTGGGGTGTGAACTCGCTGGGTGCAAGGGGTGGCAGTGGGTGCCTTGGAACAGGAATGTGGTATTTAGGAAGATGGTTCTTTGGTTGGGCCAGGATGGATCTGTGGCTGGTAATTCACCAGCAGAGCCACGGCCTCTGTTGCTGCCTGGGACATCCTAGAGCTGGACACAGAAGGTCTCCAGTGGCACATGGGCAGTCCTTGTTAGCTCACCTCCAGTGGGACACGAGGCTGGAAGGGAGTTGTGCAATCAGAGCAATGGAATTCATGAAGCAAAATCTGTTATCATCCCTATGGATATGCTGGAATAATTCTTCAACAATAATTCTTGTTGCTTTAACTTCTTGGAATGCACAAGGTCTGCTCCTGTCCATAGACTCCAAGAGGCTGTGAGGGTAGGGTGTGATGTGCTTGGGGCTCCTCCTTCTGCTCAGGGATCCCCCCAGGTTGTCACAGCATTACTGAGAAAAGCTCAAGGTCAAGTTGGTGGAAGTCCCCAGGCTTTGGCTTTCCTTGTGCCATGAGTGTCTTGCCTTGATCCCATGCTATTGGGGTGTGGGATTGGAAGCCCTGGTGGCAGCTCTCAGCTGCATTTTGGAGAGTTTCTGTGCAGTGTGGGGTGAAGATAACATGCTTGAAATGGCATTTGCCCTTTGGAGAATGAGCTTTACTGCTGTTGGCTGCACATAACTTCTGGGAGCTGAGGAGTTTTGCTGCGTAATGTTCCAACTCCATGTAGATTAAATGTATTGTGGAGTCAAAATAAACAATAGCATGCGGTTTTCCTTTGTTCCCCCCCCTTCTCCACAATCAAGAGTTCACAAAAGTTCTTGAATTAGAGTTCTGTGTGCCATACGCTCGAGCGTAGGCTCCAATTTTCATAAAGTTTGCTGAGGGCTGTTGCTGCCGGGGAGCTCTTTCACCTTTGGGATGGCTTTGGAAATCTCTTTGTTTCTCAGGAGCTTTTTCTGAAGGTGTGTTTCAGTGTGGGGCTCAGATGCTTGTTGCCTGAAATGCTTTGCAGTGACAGCGTATCACAGCTTGATGGAGATTTGAGACTCCTCTAATAAAATGCRAGAGAAGGAGGAAAACCCCGAGGGTTTTTTGGAACAGAAGATGTTTTCTGTTCCTGCCACTAATCTCTGTTGCAGAATGAAATAGGAATGTATACTTTAAATCTCTGTCAGGGTGTAGAAGGAAGCTGGCAACGGATGTAATCAAAAATGTTATTATCAAAACTCTCAAAGTATGTTGAAATTTCAAGCTTAATGATATAATTTTAAATTCAGCTATTCAGACTGRGGCATGGTTTTGGGGGGCAGATTGCACTTCCAAGTTGTGCATCGGGATGGACCAGGGAGGAGTTAGGAGTGGAAATGGTGGTGGGTACTGCAGTGGTGTGGCTGGACTCTTCAGCCCTGTGCTCTCCAGTGATTTGGGTGGCAGCGTTAAATTGAGGCGTGGTTTTCAAGGTTATGGACTTTGTGGCTGAGCACTTAAAAAAAAAAGGGTCCAGTTTCCAAGTTAGTGTTTTTCCTGATTAGGGTGTTTGTCACGGCTCGTACRTAACCAGCACACGCAGAACGTGTACGTGTTGGGAGTTTGTCTGGAACAGCTCTGGGTGCAATGAACACAAAGAAACAACACCAGATCTGATGTGCAGCAGCAACAGTGCGAGAGGAGACAGAGCTTCCAGCCTGATGCCTGGAGTAAGGGAACTGCGAGTAACCTTCACCCTTCTGACCCTTCATCCTCGAGTGGAGAGGCTGCAGGTTGGGGATGCAGAAGAAGCTCAAGTCCTTCYCTGAGCCAAAGGTGTGAAGCTGTTTATTTTCACTGGGGCCATGTATACATTGCAGGAGGCAGATGCTCGTCTGCTTAACCCGAGAGCTCGCTGCTTATCTGGGCTCTGGCGAGTGTACAAGTGTTGTCCCTGCTAATCCCCCAACATTAAACAGTCCAGGCACCTTTCCCTGGCTGAGCCTGGGACTGCTCTAAAAAACACGCAGAGAGAAGCCAACAAAAAAGAAACATTTGCTTTCTTTGCCAAGTTTAAATGAAGACTAATGCCGTGGTGCTGCTTAATCTTGTTTTTCTTGCTRTCTGATGGATGCTAACGTGGGATGGAATCAATCCCGGCAGCCGGTTATCTTTGCAGGGCCCCCGTGTTGCTGAGCTCGGCATTAAAGTCTCGTGGGGGAGTTGATATGCTATGAGGAGTCTGGAACTTTCTTCCTATGCAGCAAAGCTGTGACTGCAGCATCCATCTTCCTCTGGGAAGGTGTCTCTGGGTGTTCACCCTGCTGTTGGACGTCCGGACAGAAATCCCGTTGGGCAGAGCGGGATGTGTCTGTGCGAGTGAGAACAGGGCACAGTCAGGTGAACCTGGCGGAAATTTCTCCCTGGTCCCGGTGATGAAACTTAACTCCTTTCCTATCAGTTGCTCRTGTTCGAACTGGTTCTGCTGGGAACAGCTGCCATGGCCCGGGTTGGCAGGAGGAGGTTTGGGCTGTGACTCAGGAGCTGCCCCGAGTGCCCCCAGCCCTGGGCAGGGGTCCCCGCCGCAGGCAGGGCAGAGCCGGCAGCGATGTGGGGCTTGGCTGTGGCGGGTGAAGCAGGAGGGCTGAAGGAGCCAAACCCTTAGGCAAGAGCTCCACAATCCCTGCTGCCTCCCTGCCTTGGATCAAGGCTCTCCTTCGGCGCYGCTGGCATGAGGAAGGAGGCGGAAAGCTGCGCCGGTTCTGGGTTGCGCAACACCACCGAGCAAAGCCAACCCAAAGCCTCCCTCTCTTTCCCCCATGTTCCACTATCCCTCTCCTTGCCTGGGAGCCGGTTTAGTTTGCTGTAGCAAACCTGGGGCCTGACCCACACAATTTTTTCGTTTATTTTTCTGCCTAGCTGCTGCTTTTCTCCGGGCCCGAGGCGAAGGGGCTCGTTTTGCTMAGCAGCATTGTCAGTTGTGTCAGGATTCCTTTCCTCGAGGTGAAGAAGTGCAGGAGCGTGTGCTTGCCGGAGAGCTCGGACTTCAATTTTGAAACCAGGTTTGGTCTTTTGAGCGTGGGGGAAGGGAGGGGAGGAGAGCAGTAAAACTGAATTACTGTAAGGCTGGAGGATGGATTGTGCAAAGGCTTGTTTTAATCGGGGGAGGAAAGGCCGGGGTCTTTCCTGCTCTCTCCCTCAGCTGTCCCTGGTTAGCTGGTTTGCTTTTTAATAAGTTTTGTTCTGCCTGGAGCCTGATGGCAGGGAGTGCTGGCATTGCGTGGACAGCTGCAACAGGAGGGGAGGTGGTGATTTGGCGTGCAGGGCAGCAATTTTTGCTTAGAAAGCAGAGTCCAAACGGGTTTGTTGCTCCAATTCTGGATTCTGAGGTGACCAAGGACTGCGCTGTAAYGCGGGCTCGGCTCTCCACTTCCAGTGTACCTCCCATATCCTGCAGCCATGAGTTCACAGGCTCCTAATTGCCTATGATGTAAGACAGCAGTAGATGAGGTTGCTATAAATTCTGGCTGCAGGTGTGGATTTAATGGCTGTGCTTCCCTTTAAGGGCTCACGGATAGCATGGATCCCTGCAAGTTACAACACACCGAGTTGGACTGGGGCTGGCGCAGCTAAAAGAACCCATTTGTCTGGGTTTTTTTAGAGCTGTTGCTTGCTGGAGGCTACCAAAGGACGAGGTGTCAGTGTGGAATTGCCTGGGGAATGAGCTTGCTGTCCTCTGACAGAGCTTTGCCACAATTCCAATTCTTTCCATCAATTTTCTTTCACAGCTGAATTGCCCAGGTGTGAGAGTGCCACTGGAAGGGGACCTTTGTGTACACAGGCACCTCTGTGTGAGAGTCTGACAGGTTTTTCTGGTGACCACAACAAGCCTGTGGTCCTTTAAATTTTTTATTCATGCTGGATTCTGGTTTTAGAAACCATAGAGAAATTATAACTGTGGGTGATGGTCCCTTAACATTGCAAAATGCAAACATTTTGGAGGRGGAAAAACCACCCCCTGAGGCAGCACTCCAGCTTGCTGTGGTGTGTGTGCACCTGTAGCTTGGTTAATGAGGATGGCGAGTTCCCTGGCTCCCTTGTGAAAATGGGCTTGGCTCACTTGGAGTTTGGTTTTGTATATTTTCCTTCAKTTTTGCACACATTCTTGCAGTCCAGGGTTTATTAAACATCCCAGGGTGGAGCTTCATGATCCACCTCATGGATCATGAKGCCTCATGCTGTTGGAGCTGCTCTTGGATGTCCATTCCCAGCCCCTCCTTTGGGCCGGGGAGCTGAAACTGCTCCCTCATCCAGGTGAAAACCAAACCTCATTTTTTTCCCTGGCTGAGTTTGCAGCTGGATCTGCCAGCAGCTCTGACTCATTTGCTGGCCGCAGGATCCCCGGTGCAGATAGCAGAATGCAAGCCAGGTCCTGAAGGAAGGTGTTGCTGCCCTCCTCGGCAGCRGCCCATCTTTAAATTGGCTGGAAAAGCAATTGTGAAATCTCCAGAAATCTCATTCTTGCTAAAATCCAGAACTAAAGATGCAAAGCAGGCGCCTCTCTCCGAGGCTGAGGCCAGCTCTGAGGAAGGAGCAGGGAGGAGGTGTTGGCTCAAGGACCCTTGGGGACAGTAGAGCTGTCACAGGTGTCCCTTCAGTGGTATGGCACAGGTGTTGAGCTGAATGTAAGGAAGAAAATGGAAATATGAGGCAAAGCAGTGCCTGAGCAGGAGAGATCAAGACTGGGAGGGCTTCGAAGAGCAAAGGGTGAGAATTTTGTATGTATTTGGCCTACTGTGATGGAACTGTTAAACTAATGATACCCTCAGCTCCCTTGGGGGCTGAAAGCCCTGATTTAGGCATTTAAGCATAATTGCAGCCCAGCAGAACCGTATATCAGGCTAATGCTCTGTTCTCTCRCTTCCCCCCAGGCCAGAGGAGGCAGGAGCCATTCCCACTTCATTAGTGTGGCAGCAGGGGGACTGTCTCAGCTCTTGTGCTGAAGTTAATAATAAAATTAAACTAATTGTTATGCCTGTTTGCGGAGAAGAAAGTGTGGCTTCTGAGATGATTTATTTATTTTTCTCCCCGGTGCCTGCCTTGCTGTGACCGGTTTTGGAGCAGCAGGATGGGAACCCCCAGCTCTCCCCCCTGGGAGCACAGATGTGTCTCGGAAGCAGAGTCGTGACTCGGGAGTGGTTTTGTCCGTGTTTGCAGAGGCACAGCGCACAAACTGTTAAATTTCCTCCCCTCAGCTCCCAAATCCATTCCTCCAGCCCATGCCAAAGCATGCGCTCCTCTATCAAGACCATATGTACGCCARGACCAAGGTTCTAAAAGTCAAGGTGTTTTTGAAATATTGGAGTGCAAATTAAGTATCTGAGTAATCTTAACTGTCTTCTAAAAAAAAAAAATAATAATTCTCTATCAGCCTCACGTATATAACTCAAAAGATTAATGGAAGGCTAAACTTTGATCCGAGTCCAACAGCTGATACCAACCATGAGGCTTTCCAGGCCTGAGAGCAAAATAGAAAAATCCAATAAAAAAGGCCTTCTTTTCCATCTTTGAGGCACACAGCCTCTTGGCCATGGTTTGGGCTAATRCTKTTATTTTCTCCTCAACTGCTTAACYTCTTCTTGTGTCACCTTTGTCCTGTGCCACTGGACCTTACCTAGAAYAGTTTCAGTAAATTAGTGACATTATTTAGGGTGTTTTATAGCTTTGTGGGAAACACATCTGTGTGATTATTGAGGAAAGCCATGAGGATGTGGGATCCCCTGTCCTCTCTGKGGCTCAGTCACCATCTAGTTTGCTCAGCGTTGTTTATTTTTCCTGCCATCTGCCACCCAGGCAAACACTTGCTCTATATTTTGACAAAAATATCACCTTTCAGGTCTTTAGGGTCCCTTCCAATCCAACCATTCTATGAAAAGTTCCATTTGGAATTGCTGTCCAGTTGATAAGGGAGTTTAGTCCCCGGAATTGCTCTTTGGATTCATCATTGATTTGCGGGGGATTTAAATAGTGTGGAGCAAGAAAAAAGCTCCATGTAAGGCTGCTTATAAAAATAGATGTCACTTAAAAAGAAGTAAAAATACGGTTTGAATCTTTAGGTGGGAATCTGCATGGGAAACATGTGGATGTGACTTAGCAGTGATGGATTTGGGTGCCAGGTGTGGCCATGGGCAGAAATGTGGAGGCATTAATGAAATCCCAGCTGAGGATTGTGAAGTTTGAGCAACTGCAATTTCTCTCCTTTATTCAGGAGATCCTTATCCTTCTGATAAGGATCTGGAAGGTGCACTTTCATTTGTTTAAAATGTAATAAATAAATATGAACAGAACATCAAAGGATGCTTTTCCTTGTAATTTTTAACTGCCTCTCCACTCGGCATTTCTSGGGATCCCTTGGCGTCCATTTCATTGTGTTCTGACCCGTTTGTGTCTCTCACACTTGGTTTATAGGGTCATCAGCAAACTGATTTTTTTTGGGTTTTCCCTTTCAGATGTTTTTTTGGGGGGATATTGAGTAAATCCCATGCGTATGGGRCTATTCGGCAGAGTTCCGTGTGTTTCCTAAAAGCACATGCAAAATCCCTTTGAAGAGCGTAATTTTATTGCTTACACTCACGAAATCCTCTCTCTGGTGATGCCATAATTCCAACACAAATGCCTAATTACGGTGTTTTTTTTTACAAAATCCCCAACCCTCCTGTAGCTGCCCGGTTCCTTATCTCCAGCKCTGGGTTTCCTGTGATTTACCAACACGGGCTGCGGCTCCAGCGCTTGAGGTGGAGAAGAGTAAAACGGGAGCACTCAAATGTTTTTTGCCCAAGCTGTGATTACAGCCCGGCGCTCGAGCCCTCTCTTCGGAGTGTAATTAGGAACACATTGATTCTTATTGCAGCTGGCAGCTGCTCGCTATTGCCTTTTTCAGCTTCTGACCCCCATAGTCCCGCTGACCTTTCCTGGGGTTAGTCGTAGGCCCTTTTCATTGTGATGGGCTCGAAGTGGCTCATGTGGAGTTGATTATTTCCTTGCTTGTCTGGCCTTTTTGGTGCCATAACTCCAAGTCACTTCCATTTTTTTCCCCTGCTTTTGGCTGACCACAGTGAAAGGAAATGCTTTTGCTGGCGACAGGATCGGTTTGCACGCTTGACTGACTCGATTGAGACCCTGAAAGGGGGGGAGGGGGAGGGTAATGAACACTGTAGGTGCTGCATTTGCTTTTTAAAGGTTGATGTTAATGATTGAGTGGTCATTAAGCATTCATAAAAAGGAGGCTTCTGCTGGCWTTTGGCACTCTGGGTTGGCATTGGGTGTCGGTGTGCCGTGTCCCGTGTGGCAGCGGTGGTTTTAGGACATCCTGAGTGCTGCTGTCACTACCGAGGTGTCCCCAGCCCCGAAAGTGCTGGGAATGAAGCAGGGATGTTCAGCCYGTGGAGCTGTGGGCTGGAGCCCGCTCCTCCCAGCCCAGCAAGCTAATGAAGTCTATGTGCCAGCTGTTACACTCATTTTGCCAGACCCCAGGAGGACAGCATGAAGACAGTCAGTGATCAAAGGCTCTGGAGATCACTGAGGAGCCGAGCGGCAGGAATGTCTGATTGCTTTCTCTTGGAATGCCACAGGCTTCAATACCTCCTTTTTTTCTTTCTTTTTTTTTTTTTTT